GTCCACACTCATAACACTAAGCTATCATCTCACAAAACTATTCCAGCCACTGATGGTGGCTGTGTGGAGTACTGTGGCTAAAACAACCCTAAAATCATACTTCTTTGGTGTAGGAGGGACAATATGGTCGGATGAATATTTAGCAGTCTTAGCATCAGTCCCTGCTCTTTCTGGGCCAGGACACAAGTGAGGACAAACCAGAGGTAACACAAGGCCAGTTTTAGAACAATTCCAAGGCAGAGAAATCACCCGGCCTCCAATTCACCTGAGGCCTTAAGGCACTTTGAAAGATTTTCCAACACTAATTCTACTGTCCCAGAAAGCAAGACAACATCAACAAGGGATGGTTTTATTTTCTCCGCATTCCCCACTGGAACAGTCAAATGTTCTGCTAATGGTCTTTATGTGTTCTAAGACTTCTGAACTCTCTCTACAACATGAGAGGTGGGTAATGTGGGCATGGTGTACATTGTCAGAGAAACTTGACAAGACAATAGCACAACCTACAACAAGAGAGAACTTAAAACAAAAACAGTTTCTTAAGAAAAATAGCTGGAGTCATGATACATTTAAAATTTCCAGAAGTTTTTGGACTATAGCTTGGTTGGGAAAGAAAATATCAGAGAGAGGAGGAGTATCTGGGCATCTGTCAACTCAAAAGAGTTTCCATTGCTAACCTGTGCCAGTAAAGTTGAAAATTAGTCTTAGATTGACTATCTAAAGCATGACCTCAAGAAACATTTATAGTGATGCTTGGTTTCTGTTCTCACATAATATCTCCATGACTGAGTCATCCATCAACTCAAGACTCACGCATCTGTTGCCTCATTATCTGGCACCTTTTTGAACTATAACACATATAGAGCACAAAGTGAGTGCTCACTGCTGATAGAAGGGAAAGTAAGTCCCAAGAGAACACCCTCTCCCAGCAAGTACATGAAGTGGTGTGAACCATGCCATTCACCCTATATGTGGGCCTCTCTGTCCACATCCTCATTGGTTTCTTGCAGAAAGCAAGGGCAATAATAATGTTGCATTAACTCTGAATGGACACAGCACAGCAGTCAGTTTGAAACAGGTGATCCTTTACCTGATGAAAGCACAGAGAAACATTGACAAATAATGAAGTATAGCTTTAGTTATCAAATGCAAAACAAAAATAGTTCACTGATAAGATGATAAAATTGACAACATGAAATATGTGCACTCAGAGCTAGCAAACCACATACTGGAGTCAATAGTAATTAGCTACTTTTCTTGACAGAATATCATAAACGTGCCAATGTCGATATCCATCATATATTTTCAGGCAGAGATACCCATCTAAGAAATTATGTGAATGCTGCTAAATATAGAGGACTTGTTGTAGAATTTTTATAAAGTGGAGAAAAATTTTAAGACTAAATGTTAAAATAACCTAGCCCTGGTTAAATTATGCTATAACCATATGACTAAATTGCTACTGGAAGACTAAGTACTTGAAAATACAACACTGACAAAAATGGAATCCAGTTCAAGATGGAAAATAAAAAGGTCAGGGAGACCTATGTAGGGAAAGAAGAGGAACAGCACAGAGGGATTGGGAAGGAAAATGGATAAATAATGCTAGGATGTTTGAAAAGGCCATGGGAAAATATTATTGCATATCTACTTAAAATTACATTATGTCACAAGTTTATATGTATATATGTAAATATACACATTTATATATAGTTTAATTGAAGTTATACCAGTTGAGGGTGACAATGCTCCCTCAAGTAGATTTTAACAAACACATGAGTGATGGGCATGTGAGACCTTTTGAGTTGTTGGTTAGGAGAGTTCAAGAGACCCACAAAATAACCTGTTCCATTGCCATTGCCCTTGGAGTCTTTAGTGAAGAAAGTAAGCCCCTATTGCTGAAGACATAAATGTACTGTGGACATAGGATCTGGATCTGACCTGGAAGTCACTTCGTTGAGTGCTAGCTCTCAGAGTTTCAGAAGGAGCCAGGCAAGCCACCAACAGAGAAAAGTAATCCTGTCCAGCTATAAGGACAATGAAGCATAATGATGAGCATCAAAAGACATTCTGAAGGGGGGGACTAACTAGTGGCACTTATATCCTCAGGGTACTTCCCTAATTGGACTTAAGAACCTCTCAATACAAGGGAATTAGTGACTAGCACTGTAAATTTACCATGGCTAATGAGGCCATGGAACCTAGATGAGAACTACTCTCACTGCCAGTTCCTTAAAACAGTGGAATCTCTCACTGCATTCAGAATACCTACCCTTAAACCCACAGATGAATGTCATTCTCACCCCTCATCAAAGAAACATATCCTTACTACAGCAACCTTTTCAGAAAACTGCAACTGGTCAAAATTCAGAGATCAACTGACCATTGATCATAATTAATACGTTTACAATACACGCCCTACACCTAAGACTGGGGAACATAACAGAAGAAATGCCAGAAAGATTATAGAAGTCTGAGAACCAAGACAGCTCTTGTGAAATTGTCTCTTAAAAAAACATACAAAGGGGAAAGAATATGGAATCTTGGAGCAGTGGGAAGGGCATAATGTGCTCAAGATACATTGTATAAAATAGTATGTTGAAATATAGTCTCTAAAATCTGCCAGTGATAGTCCACTCTGTGTTATAAAATGAAGAACAGTTTATATTTTCCTTTTTGTTAATAGTCATTTCTACATTTTCTTTATTGAACAGATCTCACTTCAGAAACTTGAGAGTCATTCATTTAACTATGGATAAGATATGTCATATGGATGAAAATCAGATTTTCCCAAGCTTACAGTAGAAGGACAGCATCCCTCACATGACTTGGCCCCACTCTCCTCCTCAGCCTCACTCTCAGCTCTTTCAACTCTAGCCCTCCAAATCTCCAGGTATTTTTGCCATAGCTTTCTACCTCAGGTCCTTAATCTGGTAAATTCTATTATCTTTGCAGTTATTTAATCCTTCCCACTACCATGTGGCTTGTCCTTCGGGGAGGACTATGCATTTCTCTTAGATTTTAATCAAACAAATGAAAGCATACACAACAGGAGGCCACATCTAAGCAGATCTTCAGAAGCAAGTCAAGTTTCCATTGGCGTCCTTCTTTCCCACTCCATGACATCAGGGTGTCCCATACAGGAGCTCTCTTCAGTAGAGCTTAGGACACTAGCAGAGCATGCATCTGGTAAACCTTTGTGGCAGAAGCCATGTAGATATGAAGATCATTTGTTGCTGCAGCAAAACTGACCACTACACACAGCACATGGTATCATTCTGGAACAGCTGGCTCACTACCACTGCCACACCAAGTTTACTCCATTCTCATTCCAATCTCATCCTTTACCTATAAGGTCAACTCCTTACAAACACGATTTCGCAGCACCAGGGACTTCTCTTTCTTAAAACTTGTCATAACCACACTGTCATAACTATTGTATAATTGTCAGAGCACTATCTTCCATACTGTATATTAACAGCAGGGGAAGATAGCTTTATTTATTCACTGTTGTTTCCCCCACAGCTAGCATAGTTCTCAGTAGACATTGATCTTTGGTCCAAGACAGGTAAGTGAAAACATGAAGGAAAGTGTGGGCTAACTAAAAACATTGAGCACAGAGTTGAAATATATTTGTATCCAGCAAAACAACCCTAGTATATTCCAGAAGTTCTTTATAATGAAAATAGGCACTTGTCTGGGATCTCCCAAATAAGCAATAATAATAATGATGATGACAAAGCACTTTTACTATCAAAACTATTTTTATTATTAACAGCCTTGTAATAAGTGTCGTTATTCCCGAAGGTCAGCACTTTCAAAAACATTCAGCTATGAGCTGGTAAAGCAAAACTTTGAGACAGATCCCCTTAAGAAACTTGTAGGTCACCTGGAGGTGGCAGTAGTTAGTGGCCAGAGCCTGGGGTGGAGCAAGGACAACCTCTGCACTGATGCAATAGATCTTGAAGACATCACTTCTACGGGTCACATATAGCTTTAGTATCTATGAGCAGACTACCTACCAAAGTTCATTTGTGAGTTGAGAGAGGAAGTAAGGTGCCATAGTGTCACCTGGAAATTTCTTGTAAGTTGGAAACAACAGGGAATAGGTCCTGACCCCCTAATTTTGACTTAAGAACCAAGAAATGCCAAGAAGCAAGACTACCCTGGGAATCAGTGAAGGGAATTTTTAAAATTCATAGTTCTGGACTCTGCATAAATCTGTATTTTAAATGCCCCAGGTAATGCTCAGGTATCCTAGTATCTGGCAATCTCTGATCAAAAAGAGGTAATGCTAATTTCTATTTTTAAAGTAGGGAAATAAAATCTTAGATTTGGAAACTGAATAGTATATCCTAGTTTTTAAGAGTAATTCACTTCTTTATCTGCAAGACCACCCATGGATTCCATGGATCAGCCGTTAACTGGGGTGACTAAATGCAATGTAAAGAGACATGACATGCATTTTCTGCCCTTTGCTTTCTTGCTTCCTGATCACCATCAGTACATTAAATATAGAGTCTTGTTAGACTTGGTGAGCAGACCTGTTGTTCATGCTCTGTGCTGAGAATAATCTGAAAGTCAGCATGCAAATATGCCTCAGCTTGATACTACATGCAGAGCCCCCTTAGCCTGGAATGAAGCCCACCTGTGGTAGCTGCTTTAAAGCCCTCAAATCCTGGTATCTAGCCTTGACATGCTCACAGTTGTCTGAACAGGCCCTAGAAATTGGAAAATCTTCACTTTTTCATGGCCAGGTCAAAGTTTCAAGTTCTCAGTCCAACACACAGTGCTCTCTAAAAATCAATTGCAGGAGTCTATCAGCCCGGTGGAGACCAAGGCCAACCAAGTATCAGCTAACATTGCTTAGGCAGCCTCTCTGAGGCACCTGAACTGGTTGGGCCAGTCCTGCCAGGAGCAGAAAGGGAGGAGGAGGTACAGGGATTGGAAGGGAGCCTAGAATGGATGAGGGAGGGTGGGAGGAGGCAAGTTTCTGCAGCGGGCCACAAATGAACTAAGGAAATCAGGAAGGAGGAATTGTGCTCAGGTGTATAAAATTGAAGGGTGAGTTTGTAGAAGTGGCTGGGGCTGGTGTGCCCCAACCAGAGACTGAAAAAGGAAGTTCTCCCTCCCACTCCTCTTTGATGGCATACCTGAGGGAGTGAGAGAAGCTGGGCCTTGCTTCCTGATACCCCATCAGAATAAGAATGACCAAGTGCTGACATCTACCATAGTGTGACTCTTGCTGCACCCAGGAGGAAGGAGGTAAGACCCTGGGCAGGAGGGAATGCTCTTTTCTCTTCAGCTATACCTTTGCTTCCTGGTCTCAAGTTGCAACTAACCTTAGAGTCCTGGGCCTTGGGGCTAGAGTTGTGTCTACCAGTACTTCCAGGAACCTTCATTCTTCTGTCTGTCTCAGAAGTTCTTGGCCCAAGACCCAGGGCATATAGGCTCATAATTTATGAGAGCTATTATACATGGTGATGTTGTGAGTAGAACTTCCTTGCATTGGTGACTAGGTAGCCCTGGCAATTCACCTCTTCCCTTACTACCTACTGTTTAAAACTGACTTACCTGTGTGGAGAGCCTGCAACTCACAGGGTACTAGTCAATACTTGCACTATTTCAGGTCCCTTTCCAAATGCTTACTTATAGAATTTTCAAAGCAATGAATGTTTGTAAAACAAATAAAATGAGTGTTTTGGGGTGGTGTACAATAAAATTATTGAAATACTCTCATATACAAAGCATGGCTAAGCCTCTCGTGGAGTAGGTATTGTTATAGCTCTAGTGCTTCGCAAGGAAAATGAGACTCAAGGAGGCTAACTAAAGCCAACTTTCATCCATCACAGGGGCCCATATGCTCTGAATTTGCATTGATGAGGTTCAGAGTGCACAGCACTGGTGCAGAACAACTTGGGTTTGTAAAGAGCCCTTTTCCAGGCAAAACCAAGGTGATATCACCACCTCCGATTTCCAATCACATCCACTAACTAACCTAGAACGTGGTTTCTAGAACTCCGGGCTTCTCTAACCCTTTCCTGTGGTGGTGGAGACCATTACCTCCCTGTAATGAGACTTATATGGTCCATGTGATCTATGGAATTAAGAGCTCTGAGGTGGTACAGCTGAGATAGAGAACAACTCTGGAAAATATAGCAATGGCAATAGAAAGGAGAAGAAATATATTTGAAAAGGGGAGAGCTGGACCATCATCAAGAGGGGCAGCTAGAATTAAAATCTCATCACCAGGGCATTGTTAATAGACTCCTCACAACTCCAGAGCTGATCCATTCTAGTCTTTGCCCATAATAAATCAGTTACACTCACTAACCTGTCCCTCCGCAGGACCTGTACATACAAACCTCTTTCCTCAGCCTGGAACATGTTCCCTGTAAGTTCCTCTCCGACCAGGTTTCAGTTCAGATGTTGCCTATTCAGTGAACACTTCTGAGATCAAGGCATCTAAAATACTGTCCCCTCACCTGTTTCCATAATGCTTATCACTCTTACAGGATTCTCTTGTTTAAGTTTTGCTCCTCATAGTATTTAAGGTGGATAGAAACTTACTTCTTTTTATCCACTGGGCATCACCAAGTCTTTGAAACTAATCAGTGTTGTTATTAATAGCAGATTCCCAGTCAATGTCTTATGGGTGAGTGAATAATAGAAAAGATGAGAAGGTATCTAGACTACTTTGTCTCCTTCCCATTCAGCAGCCCCACTCAATCCTCCAGAGACACCTGTGTGTCTTTAAAAGCTGGAGGTGTTTCAATGCATGATTCCATTCTCAGTTAACACAAGGCAAGAGGTAAAAAGGCACCAACTAGACTTTGTTCCATGAGAAACTACCCGGAATGGTAAGGCTGGCTTGCAGGCCAGAGCGATAAGCTGCACAGCCTATGACTCACTGCAGTTTGACCTTCTAGACAGGGGAGGTGGAAGAGATCTTAGCATTGCCTGGGAATTTGTCATGCCAAAATAGCAGATATCTTAGAGCACTCCCTGGTATTCCTGCTTTACCAAGCCACCACTGAAAGTCCTGCCAGGCTCCCTAATACAGCACACACTTTGGGGGGGTGTCATTCACTTCTTTCAGGATGACAAGAGAGTCATATTTGAGAGCAGAGGATGAGAGGACTTTGTATGAGCTCTACTGCTCTCAGAAACTGGTGCCTCCATTTCCCCTTATTTCTGCTCTGGACAAGTGGAATGACAGTCCATCCCTAATAGCAAGTGAGGTGGGTGAAATTTCAGTGATGAAAACACTCTCTCAGATACTATTGTGACAGGGAAATAGAAACCGTCAGTCAGTCAGTCAGTCTCTCTTTCTCTCTCTCTCTCTCTCTCTCTCTCTCTCTCTCTCTCTCTCTCTCTCTCTCTCTCTCTCTCTCTCTCTCACACACACACACACACATCTCTATCTATCTCTATCTCTATGTCTGTCTCTGTCTCTCTCAAGCTCCCAGCCCAGCAGGAGATGGAGAGCATAGAAAGCTTAGGAGCTGTGTTGATTCTGGAGAATTCTGCTTTCAGAAAGTCTACAATTGTGAATGTAGTCTACCTGAGAGACTCCTGTGAAAGATTTTTTTCCCACACAGCTACCTCAAAAATGAAAACACACACACCTTAATTAACACCTACTACACTTACTTTTCAGGAAAAGCACAAGAGCATCTTGCACAGTGCTACTTCTCTCTCTGGCACACACACACACAGTGGCTGGCACCATTTCACAGGCTGCTGGGTTTTATGGGTCCCTGTGTGCATTTCCATGTTCTTCATTATAATGGATGCTAAGCTCTGCCAGCATCAACCCTGGCCCTGGCCCGTATGATTTAAAAGACAGCTGATTCCGGCTGCCTGGCTCTGTGCTTCTGTTTTAAGACACTGCTCATGTTGTTCCATTCTGTTCCCTGTATAATTCTTGGTTTCCAGAATTTTAGAAAAGAACTTTTTAGCAAGAAAATAAACTTTTGAGTTGAAATTGAAGCCTGAGTCCCACTGCTTTCTGAGGAAGCAGTGACCCACAAAGCAGCATTGTGACATGAGAAAAGAATTATAGTGTTTAAGTAATTCTGTTTCAATCATGCCATGGAGCAGAAGTGACAGTGAAGCTTGGTTGAGACATTTATAGGTTCTGAGGTCTTTCCTTGGATAACCTCCTTTAGTGTCTATGCCTCTTGCCTCCCTGTTGGGATAAAGAGATAGTGAGATGTGGAGGAGGAATTACCATGGTGTAGTGAGTGATAGCATCCATATATATCACACACAGTGGTCAATACGGCAGCTATATTTCTATACATTGAGGAAGGCACCCAGAAGTCTACTGAACAAGGCTACCTAGAACCCTTTTTCATGCAGGAGTTGAGATTGCCAGGTTGTTTCTTTTCAGAGGGTGTCAGCCAAAAAGATGGTGCTAAAGATGATTGTTGGACATTACCAGCATATCCCATTCTCATCTTTTTCACAATGGTTTGGAAACTTGTTTGAATGGAATTCCTTTTCTCTGGGGCTGTCTTTGTGACCTTTAATAAATTGACAAATATTTTCATAAAGGCAAATGGCTCATATTTCAAGGGGGTACATGAGAACCAGCCTAGTTGTAGAATATGGAGTCTGTACAGTGTGAAACTGAACCATTTTTAAAGTTTTAAAACTTTAGAAGAAAATTGAAGACACTTGATCATACAGTGGGGCCTAGGACTAATATCATAATAATGCTAATCATCATTTATGAATTGCTGCTTCATAGGCAGCACTGGAAAAGGGGCTTGTCTCGTGTTATCTCATGTACCCAAGACAATTTATCATAGTGGGTAAAGAGTTATAGGTTTAGGTTTTCAGTGCCTGGCATTATTAGTTCTTACCTATGTGATATTGGATTAATTTTCAAACACTCTGTGTCTTCAATTCCCATCTTGAAGTGAAGATAATAATAAACCGGTACCCTAGGGATGTTGTTCCATTACATGAACAATACATGGGGTTACATAAACAAATATAAACACATGTGTTTTCCATTTGTATGTGTACACATGCATATGCAATGTCCAGTGTAATGAGTTCTCAAATGTCTGTTTCTGCTACTTTCTCCACTAATATTCCATGAGACAGATCTTTTTGCCACTGATTTATAAGTTTGAAAATGAATCCTCATGTAAAATGACTAGATTAAGACTTCCAACTTCTCTAATGGTATTAAGCCAGGGTCTGTCTTCTGACATACCATATTTCAGTTAAGGTATCAAGGAGATAAATTCCTTTGGAAATCTAGTTTGAGAAAATGTATAGTCTAAAACCAGACTGACATCCCTCCATATTGGCAGGTACTTCCTGGCCTTGTGCCTTCAATAACTAATGAATGAGGCATATGTTGAAAAAAAGTTGTGGACCTAGAATTTCACCACAGGTATCAGAACTTTTTCCTCTGTTAAAATCCTTTCCAAGACCAGACAGCTAGACTAGCCTTGGAGTCAAATTGCATCCACTCTAAATGATCAAAGTAGCTCCTAATGCCAGGATCAAGTGTGGGACAGGATTGGTATCATTTTTGAACGAGCTTTCTTCTAGCTCTATGATAGCATTGTCCCATGTGGCTCAAATCTGTTAACATCAACTCTCTGGAGCTATCACTCACCCCAATACTGGTGTTAAAAGAAATTCCCCTTAAGTCTTCACTGGTCTGGTTAAAGATGTTTATTCTGGGAAACCTCTGAGACTTGGGGCCTGAGGGGGTGGGGGTGGACACTCATCCCAACGGAACAGCCCATCCAGAGTCTGCCAGTGACCTAGTCCTGCCTCCACCAATTGGAGGAGATAAGCATGGGCCTATTTCCAGCTGCCTTCCAGTGCCCTGTTCAGAGCCCCCTGAGGCCCTTCCAGAGTCTGCCAGTGTCACAGAGCTAGTCCTGCCTGGACCCACAGAAGGATGTGAGTATAGACCTGTTTCTGGCCCATTTTCTAGTGCCCTGCTCAAAGCCTCCTTGAGGATTGGGTCCTGTGCACGGGAACCAGACCCAGAACAGCCCATCCAGAGTTTGCAATGTTGCGGTACTAGTCCTACCTTCACCCACAGGAAGAGGAGAGCCACTGAAGGGAACTGCTTGCACTCACCAGGAGAGAACCTTGGTCCCATACCCACCAGGAGAGAGAGAGACACCACAGGTATCTACTGGGATAAGGGATGGGAAGACAACAGTAGAAAAACACAGTCAACAACAGAAAGATTAATATGATGCCCACCAGAGTCTAGGAAAGCCATA